GGGGAAGGGAGTGAATGTGTGTTGGTGAGTGTGTTGGTGCGTATGCTGGTGCGTGTGCTGGTGTGTGTGCTGGTGCTGGTGGAACTCCGCCCGCAGCAGCGCCCCCGGGCCCAGGCAGGCGCCTGGCCGCTCGGCGCTCTGCACCAGAAACCGCGTGTTCAGCTCTTGCCTGAGCAGCTCGTGATCTACAAGAGAAAAAGAGAGAAAGACAGAGAGGCACGTCGGCCGTGGGCTCCCGGCGGGGCGAGGCGGATAGTCACCTGGCACTCCCGGGGTCGGCAGGCCAAGCCGAGGTGGCCGCTTGCCACGTGCGGGCCCAGGGGTGGAGGGAAGAGAGGAGCCTGGGACCAAGTACCCATCAGAATCCCCGAGGGAGGCTGGCAGTACATGGCCGGCTGGCTGAGTGAGAGCAACAGGCTGGCATCTAGAGGCAAGAGAGAAGACCATGAGCCCTGCCACGCACAGCCCACATGCCGGGCCGGCCGCCCCGACCCATCCTGGCCGTCCCCAGCCTGGGTTGGCCTCAGATGGCAAGAAGCACCTGGGCCCCAGGAGAACCTTCTGACCCTCCTTTGGACAGCACCAGCTGGGGCCAAGGCGGCGGCACCCCTGCCAGAGCAGGAGGAATGGAGCCAGGAGCCCCTGCGGGTCAGCCCTGTAGAAGGCCAGGGGCCGCCTGTGCACGTCTGCACGTGTGTGCATCTACACGCTGCCTGTGTGCGTGTGGCCCACGATCCCCTGGGACTCCTGGAGAGCGGCCCACCTGGTGGGGCCTCAGAAGCCACTCAGAGATGCTAAGGGTATGCAGATCCACAGCAGATGGGGACCAGGCTGTGTGCCCCTCCCAGAGGCTGGGTCCTCACCTCCCATTCTGCCTGGGAAAGTCACGTGGAGACACATACCGGCTGGGTGTCCGGGGATGACCAGACTGCTGGCGGGCAGCGCCGGGGGCGGGGGCAGTGTTGGGGGTGTGGCAAACATGGTAGCCGCGTGGTGCTGGTGCTGTGCCTGGGACCTGAGTGCCAGGTGTGAGGTAGACAGGTGCGGACCCAGCCCGTGGGGCAGCGACACGTGCTTTGCCAGGCCCAGGGGGACACTGCTGCCCACGCTGCTGCTCCTGGGGCAGGACATGGGCTCAGTGTGAGTGGCAACCTGGCCCACTCCGCCCCCAGAGCCCTGCAGGCCCCGCCCCCACTCCCCCTTCAAGGCCCGCACCGTCTGGCCCTCCCCACACCCAAGACCATGCAGGCCCAGCACACAGCCCTGAGGTCATGCAGCCCCCACACATGCAACTGAGGCCATGCGGCCCCCACACACCTGAGGCTGTGCAGGCCGTTGGGTGCCGCCTGGCCAGTGCTGGGACCCACAAAGGCGCCCAGGGCCACAGGCACGTGTGTCGGGAGCAGGCCACGGGGCTGGGAAGCTGCAGGCAGCGGGGCGAGGCGGGGCGGGGCTGGGGCCTCCCTCTTCACGGGGGGGCTGGTGTGGGCGCCGGGCGAGGGCCCCGGGCAGGGTGCGGCTGGGTGTGCAGGACTGGCGGGCAGGAGGTTGTCGGCACTGAGTTCCCGGCTGCGCTCGAGGCCCGATACCTTGGGCACCGCGGCCCTGGCCTCTGATGCCTCGTGCACGGGGCCTGTGGAGAAAGGGAGAGAGGTGGCTGCATTCTGGCCCACGCATGACCCCCACTGTGGCTGGGGGCGGGCCCTCCAGTGTCCCGGCTTGCTGGGAGCTCTCTGCAACCTGGGGGTCTTGCTGTCACCCCTACTTCTGGTGCAGACATGGGGCAGAGAGGCCACACAGCGGGCTGAACCCTACCCCAGTTTCCACATCTGCCTCAGGCCTGGGCCCACACGCAAGGAGGGCAGCTTGGCCCCGGGCCCTGTCTCCATGCTGACTCCAGGGGCTGTCCAGTCGCCATGTTGTTTCTCAGAGCCCAGGGATGTGCTTACCTTTACTGGCTGCTGGGGCGAAGAGCTTCTCGGAGCCCACTGACGCCTGGAGAGAGAGAGGAAGGTCAGTCGGGGAGGATGAGCCTGCGCCCACATGCAAGCCTGCAGATCTGCTGCGGGTGTGGAGTGCCTGCCCGGCCTGGGGCAGTGTGCCCTCCTGCACGTCCATGCACGGCTCTGGGCTCCAGCTGTGTGCACACATGTTCACACACACTGCACACGGGCCCCTCTCTGCTCAGAACAGCAGACTTCCTCAGAGTGGGGTTGCCATGACAACTGGGGGCAGTGGGGGACTGAGGACACTGTCCCCTCAGCAGGGACGTAGCACGGCATGGCTATTGCTAGCGTGGCCTGGGGGGCACTGGCGTTTTGCAAATCCATGGAGAGTCCTGGACGGACCTCGCTATCAACTGAGCCAGGCACCCAGCGTGTCAGAGTCAGAGGCACTGTGGGATACCATGCTCCCCATCAGGCCAGCCGAGTTCTAGGTGGTCAGCGCTGTGGAGAGGCGCCGAGTGTCCAGGTGGTGTGGCATGCCCACAAGGGCCACCATGACCACAGCATCACATGCTGCACCCACAGGGCCACCCATGACTGCAGAGTACCGCACCATGTCCACGAAGGCCAGCCATGACCGCAGCATCGCATGCCATGCCCACAGGGGCCACCCATGACAACAGCATCACGTGCCATGCCCACAAAGGCCACCCATGACGCATCACACACTCTGCCCACAAAGGCCACCCAGGACCGTAGCATCACACGCCCTGCCCATGAAGGCCACTCATGATTCTAACAGCATATGCCATGACTGCAACATCACATGCTGTGCCCACAGGGGCCACCCACAACTGCAGCACCACTTCCTTGTCTCTCCCAGAAACTCGCTGTGTGTATGCAAGGGGGTGTGACTGGGTGTCCAGGGTGAGGACATGGCCCTGGTGTCCACCGACAGGTGGATGGAGGTCTTTGTGCCGCTGACTCTGCTGCAGTTTGAGGAACGAGCCTGCTTCTAGCTTCCTTTTTCTGGTAACGCAGCTCTCTGGGTTATGGGCTGAACACAGCCCCCCACTTCACAGGCTGAAATTCACCCCCCCACAACGGCGGCAGGAAGTGGGGACCATGGCAGGTGAGGAGGACGTGAGGACAGAGCCTCTGTTATTGGGGCTGAAGCCCCGAAAGGGACCCCAGGGAGATTCCCGTGCCTTCCACGCCCCAGGAAATGGGCCTCACCAGAGCCAGGACCTGCCAGCATTCAGACTTGGAATGTCCAAGCCCCAGAACTGGGAGGGTGGTGCCTGCTGCTCACGGTTTGCCTAGGCCGTGGGCCCCGCAGGCCACCAAGTGGCCCACCTCCCCTGCCTTGCCTGGTGGTCACAGTCATCCACACAACACACCTACCGCCTGTCTCTCACAGGACACGCTCTTCACCCTGAGGCCCTGCCCCTCCAGCAGTGCCCGGCCCAGATGCCACGACTCCACATCGCCTCTCAGGTCTCACGTTCCCAGCCTCGGGTGATGCTGCAGTCAGGACATCTCTCCCTGCACGGTCCTCGAGGTGCACCCCAGGCTGCGGGGCATCCTGGACAGCTCTTGGGGACCCTGTTCGCACACGGAGCCGTGACGGGAACAGTGCCACACGGCGCACACACTCCTGTGTCTGGATGTGCGCGTTTGTGTATGTGCATGGGACAGGTCTGTGATGGCTGCATGTGCAGGTATGTCCACGTGTGTGAGCATACATCACACGTTTACACATGTGCACACATCCAAGCTGTGTACACTCGTGGATGTGTGTTTATATGCTTACGTGTGTTATGGCACGTCACAACGTACTTATGTACATGTGCACGTCTATGCACATGTAGTTGTATACGTGCGTATTCATGTGTGAGTGCATATCACACATGTGCTATGTGTGTCTGTGTGCCCACATCTGCTGGGGAAGCCTTCAAGTCTGGAGAACACAGTGTCTACTGGGGAGAGTGCAGTCCACTCTGGGAAAGGGGACAAATGCTTAAGCACTCATGTTCTAAGTCTCACCGAGGAGACGATCCAGATATAACTTACTAAATGAAAACATAACACAAAAGCAACAAAGTAAACAGCCTTCGAAGTTGCCAGGGAGGGACAGCTGAGCTTGCCCCAAGAGGGGTGCAGGGGCTGAGGGGGCAGGTGCGTCTGACCTCGAAGGGGCCTGGGCCAGGGGAGATGGGGGCTCCCCTTGTGCTCCTCTGTCTCTCCGATCTATAAATTGGGCCCGTTACTCAAAACAAAAAGAGGGTTCAGGAAGCCTGGTGATGAGGCCAGCTGTGGGTTGGTCATGAAACCAAGAGGAATGAAAGACCCCATGACGAGAACTCCCCCCAGGACCAGGAAGTTCACCCCGAGAACGAGTCCGCTGGAAGGGATGGCGCTGGAGAAGACCAGACACCATGACGGTGCCTGCTGTCTCCACACATGGTACATTTCCTATCACCCCAACCACAATCCCAGTAAGACAGTGCTTAGGGACCAGGTGTGGTGGCTCATGCCTATAACCCCAGCACTTTGGGAGGCTGAGGCGGGAGGATGACCAGAAGCCAAGAGTTCGGGATAAGCCTGGGCCACATATAGCAAGACCCCGTCTTCACAAAAATAAAATGAACTGAGTGTGGTGGTACATGACTATGGTCCCAGCTACTTGGGAGGCTGAGGCGGGAGGATCACTTGAGCCAGGGCAGGCCCATGCGAGAATGCAAGCTGGACTCTCCACACAGGTCGGATCAGCTGCAAGTCAACGTCAAAGGGAAGACACAGCACAACGTGTGGACAGATGGAGAGCGCAGGGCAGAGACGAGGACCCCACAGGCCATGTGCCACACAGTACAGACTGGGCAGGTGTGGGCCAGGCCCTCAGGGCCAGCATGGGCTACACTGCTCAACTTGGAAGAGGGAGCATGAGAACGGGCTCACTCCCACATCAACACACCAGACGGTCCAGGAAGAAACATCAATGCAGCGGTGAGTGAGCAGGTGTTTCACCATGGTGCAGGAGTGGAAAACCTCCCAACACGTCACAGAACCGGCCTCGTGTGAAAGGCTGGCGAGCCCAGCCCTGAGTCACTGGAGTTGCACGGCAGGCCCCACCTCGTGGCCGAGAGGGTCCTCACAGAGGATGCACAGGCGTCCTGGAAGACACAGTCTTGGCCACCAAGTGCAAGATGCTGGTCACAGGCCAAAGAAGTGCAAGGCCCACTCCTCCTTCTGGACAGAACCACCAAGCGGGAGTGACCTCACTGACTCCCTTGGGGTGTACCCAGGGCTTGCTTGAGGCTGTCTAGTTGACAGGGGTCATCTGGGGACCAACCCCACACGTGGGTCCCTGCACAATCCTGCGGGATGGGGATGGTCCCGTGGCCAACCTCTAGCTCCAAACACTGACGGGCCCTTGGCTCCACTCAGCCCCAGGCGCGAAGTCTACGCTACTTCAGGGAGGAAGGGGCTTCCGCCTCAGCCCTGGCTCAGCCATAGGGCTCCCAGCTGCTCACAATCCAGACCTGCTACCATGTACCCAAGAGCCTGCTGGCTTGGTCCTCCTATGGCACATGGGAACCCTCCCAGGCCAGCTACCTGTGGTGCAGCCCAGGTCCGGCACCACGCCCACCCCTCCTGGCAGCCACCACGCCTCTGGGCTCCCCACAGAGGAGAAATGGCAGAGGCCTCACCCCAGGGATGCTGTAGGGTCCCAAAGTTGGGGTTGGCTTTCTCTCCTGCCAACTCCTAGGACATCATCCCACCGCTAGCCACCCAGGACCCATCCCAGGGTCTGCAGGCAACAGAGCTCAGGACCAACCCACACCAGGAAGCCAGAAGGCAGATGGGACAACCAGACCAGGGAGTCAGGAGGCATGATGGATAATCTGGAGATGGTGGCCCACTGGGGTGGGCAAAGGGACACTCATTCGGCTAGTGTCATGGTTCCCCAGGAGGGGCTCAGCCCGCCCTTCTGCACCCATGTCCTGGCAGTGCCAGCACCCAGCACTCCATGGGCCGACCGCCCCCGCCCCTCAGGCCAGGTCCCAGCCAGGCTCCTGGGATGGAGGATGGGGTAGAAGCTCCTGAAGACCATGGAACGGAAACGACCCTCAGTGCAGCCCGGGAGGGCCCTGTGGTGATGGAAAAGCCCTACTGAGGCCCCCTGGCAGTGCCCAGTGTCTGTGCCTGCTGTCATCTCCAGTCACCATGTCACCAGGCCTGGCAGCTGGCATTAGCTCTTACGAGTCAATTCTCCAACACGGCCGACTGCCTTCACAACCCAATCAGAAACAGTCCCCCCCATGCTCCAGCGCATCCCGTCAGCCTGGGTCACAGCCTCGACCTGTCTGGGCCTCCCCTCTGATCGCTGTCCACCCCTTCCTCTGGCGGTCTCAGGACACCATCATCAGCACCACCTGGGCTCTCTTCTCTGTTAGCCCATCACCCGGTGGCCTGCCAGCCACCTCGGTGTTACCTTGGTGGACACAGGTGCTCCCACCTGTGTCACCAGCCTCCTCCTCTACTGAGGCTGTCTTGGGGTCTCTGTTACTGCGCAGCTGCCACCTCTGTGGGCCGCAGGCACTGTGCCAACAGCACAAACAGCCTCAGAGCGCCCCACATGGGCTCTACGAAGGGCCCATCTTGGTGGCACTGGGGGCAGACAGGACAGGCGAACGAGGGGCCCAGGTTGCACTGCTGTCACCACTGAACAGGGGCAGAGGGAGGGACGCGTTCTGTCCAGTTGCTCAACAGTCGACCCAAAAGGCAGCTCCAAAGCTAGAAGGCGGAGGAGAAGGCCTGAGACCTGGGAGACAGTTCCCACGTAGCAGCATGACCACGGCTGCACCCGCTGGATGCCACCTCCCCTCATGGGCACCCTCCAGAAGCTTGTGGAAAGAGTGTTCCTGCAGGGCCATGTCTGCCTGCGGGGAAGCCCAATGGGCTTGTGGGCACTGCTGCCCCCACCAACCTGGGTGCCCCAAACTCCATGGGCTCAGCTCCACATCCTGGATGAACATGGGCTCCCAG